AATCCAACTAGTTCAAGTTATATTCACTTAATATTCAAATCAAGTTCAAGTTTGAACTCATTAAATTCAAGTATATTTTGTTAATCATTTGCTTTGTGTTCAAATACAAGTCCATTTCATTGTCCATTCAGGTCACCAGTCATTCAAATTGCAAGCTCGAGTCCCCCTGTTGTCTTGTAATGTTCAAATCTGAGTTTAAATTGAGTTCATGTTTTGAGTCCAAGTTAGGTACTTTCGAGTTTAAATTTTTATGCATTCTATTTATGTCCAAGTTTTTTATTGATACTTTGGATTTTAATTAAGTCCATTTAATGTTCTAATCAATGTCTAAATAAAGTCCCATGTTGTTCCAAGTCTTTGTCTTTTTCAGACAAAATTTTGGCAGCCTCCCAGCATCTCCCCCGTTCAGGGGAAAACTACAGGAGTCTTCACCATGCGTAATAAAGGCGTGTATGGTAGGTGTCCTTAGACACCGTGGTTGTGTCTTCATTCCCACCACGCTAATAAAAGCGTGTTTAGGGTCTTCGAGAGTACCTGTTAAAAAAAAATAGTTGGCTTTTCCCCTGCTCGAGGGTACTTATAAGTAACCCCACCTCATCGTAGGCGTCGCACCGGGTTTGCATCCCACCACGCATAATAAAGGCATGTATAGATAGTTTTCCGGTCCGTCGCGAACGCTAAAATGGGGCTTAGGTGATTACTCGTCTCGTTGCGAGCACCGCGACACACTTCCTCGCACCACACTAACAAAATCATGTATAGGTGGTAGTTTCATCGCTCTGCAAGCTTCTAGGTAGGCTTTTAGAGTTTTAAGGTTTAGAGGGGGTTATACCTTCATGAGGAAATGTCGGCGGAGTTGGCACACATATCGAGGCAAGGACTAGTTGCATTATTTTTATTATTAATTAATATTAATAATAATTAACCATAATTGATTATAGTTAATTATAACTGATAATAACTAATACTAAATAATAATTAATTACAGTTAACTATAGTTAATAATAATTAATTATAAATAATTGATTTTAATTCATTAACTAACCATAATTAACTATTAATTACCCATAATTAAGTTTAGTTAATTATAATCAATAATAATTAACTATAAATGATTAGTTGAAATTAATTAACTAATTATAATTAATGATTAATTAATTATGATTAATTAATCATAATTATAATCAACTTCTAATTAATTATAATTAATAATACTAAAAATAATAATAATAACCAATTTTAAATAATATTATTAATGTTAATAATGACAACTATTACAAACATTGTTATCAATTTAATCCATACTACCTCTGTTGGTGTCTGCTCGAGGTTGAAGTCGACTAGGGCTGGAGGCGGGTTGAGTTGTTTAGTGAGGGTGGATTTGAGCGAACGGAGAGATGGCTTCGGTCACCTGACCCAATAATTTGCCTGTTTAGTGAGGGTGGATTTGAGGTGGTTTGGAGATTTGGGGCAAGAGGCGGCGGGATTGTAAAAGGAAGTCGAGTCGGCTTCTTTAGGTGGATCGGTTAGATGAAGAAGAGGTGGAGGTGCTCGGCTCTAACAGGAGTGAAGAGGCTGGATGGGGGTGTTCAGCCAAAGCTCGGGTCCGAGGCTCTCTAGATCGACATGATAGAGCAAAAGATCTCTCTTTTTCTTCCTCTCTCTCTCTCTTTCTCTTTCTCTGTGTGGACTGAAGAAATGAGGAGGTTGGGCAAGGTTCGATGGTCGGCTAGGGGATCGTAAGGAAGAGAGCTTTAGCTAGGTAGGGTGGACCCTCTCTCTCTCTCTCTCTCTCTCTTGGCTTGTATGGGAAATTGGCACAGGCAGAGAGATTGGGACAGGGAAGGGTCGGCTTTGAAGAAGGGAAGTCGAAGAGTTTGCAAATAAGAGAGGCTTGAGGTTTGCGGCTTCGGCTATGGGAGATTGAAACGCTGGAAGAGGCGTGGGAAGGAGCAAGAGCCAAAAGCTTTGTTTGGCCGGGTATTTAGCGATGCTTGCAAGGTCAAATCGAGGTAAGCTACACTTACGGGAGAAGGGACATGAGAAGTTTCGTTTGCACATGGAATGGACGATACTGTAGCCGGCGACTTCTACACGATTTGTGCAGGATTTCAACACGTATGATCCTTTTTTTTGCTTGATTTTTTCTTTTGGCTTTATTTAAGAGGTCAACAGAGCCCTCCGTTGTATGCTCAAAAACATGAAGAAATGTAATATGCAATCATACATTTGTATGTGCCCTAGCGAGCGTGTTACAAGTACACATTTGATGTCTAGAGATGCTGTGCGGGTCAGTAAATGAAATCAAGTTTGAACTCGATCCTTCTACATGAGTCAGTAGAAGTCGACGCGGTTCGAACCATCAAACGAATGTTTGGTCACGGAGTTGACTGAGACATTTATTTTATACATTCATATTAGGCCTTCAAGGCTTGAATAGAGAAATTAATTAATATCACTTAAAGTTGGATCGAACTCGATCCTCTGTCGACAAGTTGGTAGAGTCGACAGGGTTCAATCAATGAAATACAAAATGTTCATACACCTCGATAATGGCCGTGTTGAAAGTAAATCTTAACCAGAGGGGTTAACACCAAATACTCAAAAAGAAGTTCTCAAATGCCCATCAAAATTTAAAACTCCAAGAAACTGTCAAATCCAAAATATTTAAAATTAAAATTAACCATCTAATACTTAAAGCGAAATCCATCTACCCTCCGCAATAATTTGCTGGGTGGATAAATTTAAAATGCACTTTAGCTCACAAAGAGCTAGTATCTGGTCGAGAATATAACTAGGATTCATTCTCAAACAATCTCTTCACAGTAAGGACGTGCCACGTATCCTCTAAACGACAGTTTTGCCACCAAATGATACCGCAGGTAAATAGTTATGATCGGGGCTCTCTGAACTGGGTGATTCGCCGCCAAATGGCACCACTAAATTATGGTTATGGCCAGAGCCCGTATGCTCCAAAATGGCATCAAAACCTTGAGATATGAATCGATAGGATATAAAACCCCTTTGTTAGCTAAGGTGGATTCAAATTTGTCATCTTAGATAAACATGCACCCAAGGTTAACAAGATACCCTTGGACGACGCAACCCATGGCTGCCGATAAGGATCCTTCTATCAAGTTGGATCGACTACCTTCTCTAACTAATTAGACAAGGGACCACGATGGCCCGAGACGATGGAATCATGGGATCTTGATCGGGTCCATCATCCATTCCCCCACCATTCGGTTTAAGTGCAAGGTGGTAACATTTCTAATTTTAAATATCAAACTTCCAAAACCACCATGCCGCTATTATATGCCAGATACACATATCTCTACATATCTGATTGACGATTAGCCTTAATCGAAAGTTCTCTCTTGTGATCAGGAGGGATAATTAACTATAGGGGCTTGCGCCCATAGGAAACCAAAACTCAGATCATAAAGTCCTCACAAAATGAGGGCAAAATCTCTGGGTAGTGTCTTATCTACAATCCCAATCTGTCTTCCCAAAATTCTCCCCGAAACTTAATCCGTCAAAAACCCCCGAGAGCACGGGGAGGTCGGGACGCGAATTTTCAGAGCCCTCATCCAATTAATAGAGGTATGAAAATGCCTAGGAGATGAAGGAAATTTTTGGCTTTCTAAACATTTCATTATTATGTTGAAGTCTCAAAGGATGCCAAATGAGTGGAGAATGAGTGTTGATTCCTATTTTTAAGAATAAAGGTAATGCATAAGATTGTGTGAATTATAGAGGAATTAAGTTAATGTGTCATATTTTAAAACTATGGGAGAGAGTTATGGAGCATAGATGAGGCGTGATATTAATGTTTCTCAAAATCAATTTGGATTCATGCCTGGTAGGTCTGCTATGAAAGCTATACATTTATTAAGAGTTTTGGAGAAGTATAGAGAGAATAAGGAGGATCTATATATGATATTTTTTGATTTAGATAAATCATATTATAAAATTCCTAGAGAAGTGCTACAACGAGTTCTAGAAAAGAAAGGGGTTGTTAATGCTTATATTCAAGTTATTAAGAATATGCATGCCGGAGTTGTTACTTGTGTTAAAAAACAAAGTGGTTTGACTAAGTATTTTCCTATTTTAGTTGGATTACTTCAAGGATCAGGCTTAAGCTCATATCTTTTTGCTTTAGTCATAGATGTTCTCACTAGTCATTTGCAAGTAGTTGTTACCCTGGTGTATGCTTTTTATTGATGATATTCTTCTTGCTGATAAGCTTGTTGTGTGATAGAAAAGTCCCCTTCAAACTTGAGGGAAAATTCTATTTGATGGTGGTTAAACCTGCAATGATTTATGGTATAGAATGTTGGTCATTAAAAGAGAAGCATAATATTAAGTTAAGTGTTACAGAGATGAGGATGCTCAGGTGGATGAGTGGCTATACTCTTAGAGACATGATACGAATTGAGCATGTATGTGAAAAGGTTGGAGTAGCTCTAGTGGAAGATAAAATTAGATAGAGTCGCCTTAGATAGTTTGGTCACATAAAATGGCCACCTTCCGATGACCCGTTTGGGAAAGTAGATGTATTAAAAATGACTTTTCTTTATTAGATTTAAATGAGAATTTGACTCTTAACAGGATACTATGGAGAAAAAAGATTAATGTTGTCCACCCCACAATGAGATAAAGGCTTGATGTTATTTTTTGTTAGTTGGTTTCAGAAATGGATGCAACCAAATAATGTTTAAATCATGTTATCCCAGACTTTCCTTAAAATAATTTTGAAATTTGTTAAGGTTTATGGTCTTTGGTATTAGTGATCATAGTCAAATGTGCAGAGCTTATATATGATCCATAGTACTTCAAGAACTTATTCTAATGCAACACACATGATCCAGTTTTGTGGCTGCTACATCTTTTTCGTGACCAAAGGGTTCATGAAGTTTGTATCCTGTCAAAGGAAAAAACAAGAAAAAAATAATTGTTGCAAATAAAATTTATTTGAATTGTAATTTTTTCTTTTGCAGATGATACATAAGTTTAGGACTGTTGTTCGAGTGGTTACGTCATGTCCTTGGCAAGCAAAGGACCTTTGTACTCCATCAACTGGAAAATACCGCATTCGACTAATGATTGAAGATTCTACTGCAAGAATTCATGCTTACATTTTTGGAGAAGACGGGGTGAGGACTTCAACCTTTTGCTTAACCTTTTCTGTCCCTTATTTTAATTTATTGCTGATCCCATAGAGTGCTTCTCGATTCCTATCTAATCAATACTACGGATTAAAGACTCTTGTCTAAGTTTTCAAACTTTGCTTTCTGATTGATTCGCATAATCAGATGTTTTTTTAATAAAAATATGTAAAATAGGCTAACGAATTTGAAACCCCTTAGATTGCTTAATTGTTTAGTTCTACAAATTTTCACTGTCTACTCTTCCATAATATTTTAAATCCTCCAACATAATTCTATCTCTTGCACTTTCTACTCTTATTCCATTCATAACACATAAAAGTATAATTGTATCTTCATGCTTTCTCTCCCTCTTTTTTTCTCCTTCTATACTCATATATCGATCATTATAATATATATATATATATATATATATACACACACACACACATATATATATTATGCTATCTCCTCCTTTCCCACTCTCTTCCTCAGCACCCTCTTTTTCTATCTCTTGTAAGTTTTCCTTATCGAGCCATGACATACCATCCAGACCAACATATAGAAATATGTTCTCCATTGTTTTTTTTTTCGATTTTAGTTATAAAATTAAAATACTATGGCTAATTGTTGTTTATATGAGCAAAAGAAATTCCATTCCTTGTGATTCATCATCAATAATAATATCATAACCCTTATCACAACTTTTTGTGGCCAACCTTAAAATCATCCTCTATTTAATCTTATTGAGTTCTATCTCCACAAGTGCTGCTATATTTTTATCATATTTTATTTCAAATTTACAGCCATGATATATTTTGTCTAATGCTTCTCTATCATAACCTTTCCATGTCATTTCATCTACCCATTTATTTGTGTATTTTCTACTTACTATTGTACATATCCAAATTACCTTATTTTTAGGATATTATTTTCAGGGGGTGTTATTCTTATTTATCTCTTATCCTAAATATTTTTCACTAGTTTTTTTTTTTAATAAACCTCATTCATTTTGACATTTGCATTTCTATAACTATGTTTTCCATAAGTTTGGCTATCAAAGATTTGATGGTGTTGAATATTCAAATTTATGCAACTTGGTGAAACTAATATCATATTTATAAAATCTTTCTTTTTATTTAATACTCTAATGGCATTGTAATTTTGGGATAATTTTTCATGTAAGTCCACTTTCACTCCACAAGTATGTTTTCAGAGATGTTATTCTATACAATAGAGAAAGATGCTTAAACATATTATATCAAATACATCTTTTAATAACATTGACCATTCATTAGCGATTGTGCATTTAGGGGCTGTTTGGTTGCCTGCAAAGTAAACGCAGTGTAAAGTAAATGCAGTGTAAAGTAAATGTAGTGCATTCCAAATACTTTGATGCTGTTTGGTTGTCTGCAAAGTAAACGCGGGAGAACTGTTTCCCTTGTTTGATTAGATATATCTAGAGTAAAGTAAAAGCAGTGCATTTGTAATATATTTTTTGTCATTATAACTAGTGTATTTATAAAAACAGTTATAATTTTTTTTTAAATTATATGATATAATATTCTGCTATGTATTAATTTAGCAGTGTGCTACAATAGACTTAAATATATTTGTAATTGAGAGAAATTTTAATATTAATTTTGTGAAAGTATAAAATTTTAATTTTAATTTTGTCAAATATAAATTTTCAAAACTTACAACTTGCCAATAAAAGGAATACAAGCTCTGAAAAGCCATATCTGCTCTCAAAATTCTTTATTCCTGAAAAGCTTGCTAGTTGAGAGTCATATCCATATATACAATAATACATCATATTAAACGAAGGCATGTTCAACTGCAATTAATTAACCTAAATTTTATCACGGCAATCAAAGGAAAGAATCAATCTCTAAGGAAATTACAATAATTGCAATGAAGAGATGCATAAATTAATCCTTTGCGCTTCACTCCCTAAGACCATTTAACCTAAAATTTAAGGGCATTATGCAACTAGGGCCACACTCGCTTGGATTTGAAGGAATCCAAGTGTTCTGAAAGCGAATGTTTACAATATTCCATTTGCATTGTTTATATACTGGAAAAATAGAGGTTTCTTCATTAAAAGCACAAAAGCTTGTCTGAAAATAAAGTATAGCTCATATTCAACTGCAATTAATATTAGAGGGAATTTTGGCCACGCACAAAGAAAGAACATCAAGAAAGAAAGAGGAAATATTAGAAGCAGACAAATAAGTGAGAGGAAAAATAAAAGGAAACGAGAGAGATTTGAAAGTAAATAGAGAGAGAGGTGAAGACCTGAAGAAGAAAACGGGGCTAGAAGAGACTAGCTCCTTCTTATGCCTTAGGAGAGGGAGGTCGTAGAGCTCGCGGACTGGAGAAGGTTGTCCGTCGGGGTCTCCCACGTCAGTCGACACCAAAGTGAAGGAAGAGCTCCACGACGGTTTTGGGGAAAAAGGTGAAGCAGACCAAGCAGCGACGATGCGGGAACGTCAGCGCGATCGCAAGAATGGAGAAGAGAGCAAGGAAGAACGGAGAAGAAGGGAGAATATAGGTCACCTTCGGCGAAATCATCACGCAACAGCCGCCAAAGAATTTCTAACTCGCTTAATTTGAGCAAGTCGCGCGAACTGCCTCCCCTAATACCCCACTATTGCTTCGGAGGTATTCCTTTCATTCCGCTCAAAATTAACCAAACAACCGAATTTAGTAAATACCTGTAATTGTTTTGCTTTACCCTCCTAATTCAGGCAACCAAACAGCCCCTTAGTAATCATTACATAACGTAGAGTCAATGGTTAATTATGGTTTAATTGGATAATTTGCCTAACGCTGACATTTCTTTTTCGTGTTTACAGGAGAAATTTTTTAATGGTTATCCACCAATTGATGTATTGACTGAGAAAATGTACAAACTGCTCGGCATAAGTGGTAGTCCAGTTCTAAGGAATCCGCCATGGGTATGGTGCTGCCTAAAGTCTTATTACCTTGATGAAAATGATCCATGGGGAAGTAGAAGATACAGAATTTTTGGAACTAGGCTAATATGATGAACACTTTGTCTGGTATCAAGCATCAGTTATACCAGTCCTCAGGTGATCAGGAGAGAGAACTTTGAAAGTGTAATTCATGTACTATGACACATATTCTTGGATATGGAACTTGATTTAGACTTTGGTCGGGCTACAAGTGAGGTTGACTGGAACATTCTGTTACCACTTAAAATGAATAGTTATAAATGCCTTCGTCATGTAACATTCATGAAATACTTCTGATATAACGATAAGAAAAGTTTTCTGAACTTAAATCTTGTAACAGATTTTCTCTAAAAATAAGACGTTATGAAGTCTTCCATATGGGCCAAGTTAAAACTTATTTGAAAAAAAGTAACATAAGCTGTTTGTGCCTAAGTGTTCGTGTTTGCTTTAGTTCTGTGTTGACATCAATCTGTAAAAATCTTTGATTACCAAAGTTTCTTAAGCGTACCATATACTTTCTAATTATCTTATTTAAAAGATAAAGGATTTTTTTATTTTACTTAAATAGACTGCGAGAGTGTTTCCTTCCAATTGAATTGCAAAAAGCTTTCCTTTTTCAAATAGCAGCATGCCTTGTTGACAGTTTGTTTTTTAACTATGAACAATTTTTAGGAGCTATACCAAGATCCTATATTATGCGCAATAGTGATTGATTTTAATTCCTGCTAATTCAAACATATAAGAAACATGATTAGAAAGGCTTTGAAAACTCAATTTGCATGAAGTATACTATCTTTTAATCATTTTTTCCTCTCAATCGGATGCTTTACAATGCATTATAAATGTACAATTATTAGAAAATACACGAGCATTATTTAATTTCTTGAATATGGTCTCTGATAACATAAAGATCATGAGGGTTTTTTTATTCTATGAAATGTTGGGGTCTTAATAAACAAAAAAATAGCTCTTGTAATGAAAAAAGAAGTAGCTCTCAAACTCCCAGGCTTTTCTAAGTTTCTCTTCCTTGCATTCCTTTGTTTCGCGCTTCACTCACAATATTTTTTTTAATTTTTATTCTTTTGCAGCCTGTTTTTATTTTGACATGTTTTCTTGTCTTGAGGATGAAAATATTTCTTTGAGTGTTTTTAGATGGATAATTTTGATTATTTTGAAATTAGATTGAATCATTAAAGAATATTTGACAGTTATAATTTGGTGCGTGTCTTGTCTTTACTCGTGTATAAAACTTCTACCTAGGTCAATTCGAAGGAAAATAAAGAAACTTATGCCAAGGTGTGTGACCTAGTGTCCAACATTGCTCAATTGTGTAGCGTTATTGTTTATGTATATGTAATGGTTTGTTAGGTCTTGCATTGTTGAGAATGAATACTTGCAAATGTTTTGAGTTTTTAACTTAAATTCATTTAGAAGTTATTTGGTTGCCTCAAAAAGGAATACAACATAAATAAAATGTAGTATAATGTAAAAGGAATACTTTAGGTTTTATTGGTATAAGTGTAAAATAAATATATGATATTATTATTTTTTATTTGGTTTGAAGTAAAATGAGCGTATTGTAAAACCCAAAAAGGGTAGTGGTCAGCGGCGGACGGTGTTGGTGTTCTGCAGCAGCAGTGATGATCAAAGCTGATCGGAGGTGGGTGTTAGTCCGCGACAGCGATGGGAGATAGTGGTCGACAATGGCACCAGTCAGTTGGTGGCGATAAAGACTTTGAATTTATGGTGTATTTTGAACACTCAAACCTAAGGAATTTCAAATGCATCAAAATTGAACTATCTGGTGAATTTTAAATCCATCAAAATTTTACACTTTTCTTTCAAACTAAATACCAATATTCTCAAAATCTCTACGTTTGTAATACTCTACACCCATTTTACTTAAAATTAAATAGCATTGTGGAATGAATCTCAAGATGTTGGATGTGCCATCTGAATGCTTTTCTCATCATTAAAAGCTGACCAAATGAGCCCTTCGCTACTTCCTTCGTTTCTTCCAGTGTCGAAGCCTTCTCTTCTTCCACTGCTCGCATTCTCTTCTCCACAGCTCACAAACTCTTCGCCCGTTTCTCACGACACTTCCTGCTCTCCGACCTTCAAATGACCTCAAGCTACTATCAACCCGTTGACCTCCCTCTTCCATTCGTAGATGCTTCACTTGACCAAACTTTCCCATCTGACATCCTCCATACTGCAAGCTCCTCTTCTTTCAGATCTCCTCCTCCCTGCATTCTTCTTAATACGGTCGAACTCCAGCAGCTGACCCCAACCAACCTTATGTACGCATGCAAACCACAAGAAGGCCTCTTCCTCTCTACACCACTTGAAGCTTCCATTACTCTATTGCAACTTAGTTTTTATAATTATATTTTCATTGTTGAATCTTGATTAGGTTGTTAAACCTAAGCTTTTTGTCCTAAGGCTAACGAAGAGGGGCTAACTAAGAGGGGGTGAATTAATAATTTTAAAAATTAATCTTGGATTTTAAAATTGAAAACCTTTAAAATTTGTAGCAAGTTAATTAAAATTTCAAAATAATTTTTCAACTACAAAAAAATAACTTGCAGTAAATAAAATGTGAAAATTTAAATGACATAAATATTTATAATGGTTTGATCAAACACGACCTAAATCCACTCCCTGAAGACTCCCTCTTCCTGTATTGCACTATTACCAAAAGTGTCTCTCCTTTTGCCCCCCACAGCAAGGCAGAGAAGCCTTTACAAAACCTCTCTTCCACCAATCCCTGGTGGCAGAAAACCGTCGCCCTTTCACACTCTCCAAGTGTCGGCAGAGATCCGTCGTCTGTTCACACTCTCTAAGTGTCGGTAGAGAACCGTTGTCTGTTCACACTCTCCACGTATTGACAGAGAACCGTCGTATGTTCACACTCTCCAAGTATCGGCAGAGAACTGGATCTTCTTCAAAGATCTTCTGATCACGAGCAATCTAGAAAGACAAGAGGAATAGTGAAAAACACAAATCACACAGAGATCCTTACCTTTGAGTAACATTGTGAATCCTTCACAATCCACATGCAAGAAATATCTCTCAAACACTATCTCACACTCTCTCTTTCAATTTCCCTTGAAAAATCACGAAGACAAGACTTTTTCACGTTAGTTTTAATGGACCTTTATACTAAAGTCACAAAAAATCGTTCATAAATTAAAATTTTCAATTTTGAACGTACACGATCATACAGTACGATCGTATTTTGTACATACGAACAGTTAAAAAAATTATTGCATACAAACCTGTTGTGAATCGGTATGAAAACATTTTGTACACGATTATCGTCCAATACGAACAGTTAGAAAAATTTTCACCTTCGTCGGGACGAATAGAGGCCCGTAAATTTCGTACTCTGATCAGCATACATATGATGACAACATCGTTCGGTATGATCAGTTGTAAAAAATATCAAGTTCGTAGGGACGAAAAGTTAGGACGAAAATGGACCTCACAATTTCGTACTCTAAAATGCATGTATGAACTGTGTTCGTACAGTACGATCCATAGTTTGAAAAATTCTTTTTTACGTGACTAGTAGAACAACCATTTTATACTCTGGAAGGCATATACGAACTGTGTTCATACAGTACGATCCATACTTAGAAAAATTCTTTTTACCCGACAAGGAACCCATCCATTTCGTACTCTAGAAGGTATGTACGAACTGCATTCGTACAGTATGATCCATACTTAGAAAATTCTTTTTATGCGATTAGGAACCCGTCCATTTCATACTATATAAGGGATGTACGAATGTGTTCGTACATTACGATCCATACTTAAAAAAATTTTCATTTATGTTCGTTTGATTGCTCATTGGAGAAAATAACAGAACAACTTGTTTCGTATGAGATACCATGTATTCGTACAGTACAATTAGTTTAAAAAATATAAATTTTAATCTCTTCCCCCATGTGTGTATGTGTACATTTACTAAATTTTAATCTCACTCTTTCAGACTCAACAAAATAAAAAATTACAGATTTCATTTACAATAGTCTCTAAACTGATCTGATTTGAAGTCTTCAACAATCTGAAGTGATTTTCTTGAAATATTAGTACACACAAACAACAAAGCAATACATCCAAAATATGTTATGATAAATAATAATTAAAATAATAATATTTGGAATCATCAAAAACTAATATGTTGTAAAAATATCAACAATAAAGAACTAAGTTGCAACAATATCAACAATCTCTCCCTTTTTGATGATGGCAAAATAATTATTATTTGAATAAAATTTAATATCCTAAATTTCTTCTTAACTCCCCCTAAATGAATAAACATATGTATATAGAGGAATTCTTTTAAGAACAAATCAAATTTTTATTTTTAAATTTTAAAACACACAAAATAAAACAAAAACAAAACACAAAACATCCAAAAAACACAAAATAACACTAACACACCAACCAAAATAATACTAACACACCAAAAATAATTAAATGCAAATAATATTTCTCCCCCTTTTCACAACAACAAAAAGGGAAGAAGAATCATTGAAATGGAAGAAGTCATATGAGAAATCTTAGAAATTGATCATGAAAGAGATTGAACTATAATTGCAATAACAAAGTTAATGTACATTAGATGAAAAAGAAAGATTCAAAATATTTAAATTAAAGTATAACATATATAAGAAAAAGTAACAAGGTCAAGAGCATTCTAGATAATTAGATAAGGAGAATTATTACAAAAGTGACAAAGTGAAAAGTAAATAATTTTAATTTTCAATATAAAACATAATTGAAAATTAGATTGATTTGAATATGAAGATTAAATTATAGAGGAAAGAAGCATTCTTAATTGGAGACATTACGCATCTTTTCAAATATTTTTGGCACACTTTGTGCATCTTTTTGCATTTGGGCTAAATTTGTGCCTCTTTTCAATATGCGAACCTTTATGTAATCTTTCAATTTTTGTATTAATTATACATTTCTTTTGGATATCTCCTTTTTTTTACTTGATCTTTCTAAAATCAATAATCTAAAAAATCAAAATTTTCTTTAATTACAAATATAATTAATTATATTCAAAAGAGAAATAAAAAATAGTAAAATATCAAAATCGTAATAATAATATTGTTAATTATGTTTGCCTAAATGAACATAAGATTGATTGACTTAACTTAATCAAGTTATAAATTAACTTAACATTTTTAAAAAAATTAGATTTCATAATAAAATTAATTTTATATTGCAGTTTAATTTATAATACCTTTCAGATTAATTAAGATATGATTATCATATAGGCAAACTAACATTTCAAATAAAGAACAAAATCAACTAAACAAAATAAGACATTTTTTTATTGATATAAATATGAAGATCTAATA